GGCTGTTGTCTGCAGAATGGGAATGCCATGGACTAGCTTAAAAGGTCCGCAGATGCCCAGATTGAATACTTTAGGACAAGCTCCAGAAATGTAGTTGTTCTTTCCTCAGGTGAGTGTTCAGGTCTTCCCTGCAACACCAGTCCTCTCCTTCTTAAACATGTCACCAACAATAAAGGAAGATACCTTGGGCAGGAGAAGTTTCTCTGTGTTTTTCTTGTGGACCCTGCAGAGCGGTTAATGTAGGACAACTGCATTCTTACCCTCATTCCCACCTAGGATTGGCTTTACCAAGCCAGGAACTTGAGTTACAAGAACATATGGTGTAGATAGTATGGGACTTGCAAATCCTCTAGGAAGGTAATTCCTAGGACTTCCTTGAGTTTATTATAGTCTTCAGCAAGAACCATGCGGCTTTCCTGGTGGTAGGAAAAGCATTTATTAACCAGATATTTCCAGAAAGCCTGCATGTGTAGTATTTGAGTTCAGTAAATATTTATAAAACTTGGTGTAAGTAGATAATTCCGGGTTTCAAGTACCACAGCTAACGGATTTCTTTCACTTAAACAAGTCTGAAGGGAAGAGAAAGATTTATAAAATGATGCTGACCCATGTACCACCAATTGCTTTAAGCTGCAGCTGTTGCAGTAGAAAAGGGAAGCCTGACCCTCTTACCTCATGAAACTTTTACCCCTTAACCACACGGAATCCTGATTTAGTTTGGGGAAAGGAAATAAAACATTTCCATTTTTCTTTGGACAATAAAAACTACTAAGTAGTTTAAGAATCCTGCGCTTCTCCAAGTTGTTTTGGGCTCTTCTAGATGGTACAAGTTTGGGGTTAGATTCTTGACCTCGTTGAAATCCCAGAAGTCCACCAGCTTGGTTCTTCCTCAGACATCCAGAAGCTCCCGTCTCACTGTGTCAGTCCCTCTTTCTGGTTATGGAGAGGAACAAACATCGTCGTTTCTTCTGCCTCACTGTCCTCCCCTGCCTTGGTGATGCCCAATGGTTCTGTTGCTGCAAGTGCTCAGGGGACCTTGGGAATATTTTTGTTTTATCTGTGTCTCTGCTAAAGCACACGAGACCACATGTGTTTGACCTGGGCTAGAGAGGGTATGCCGAGCAGGGCCCCCAAGGATGGGGGAGGCCAATGACAGACCTAGACATGTTTTGTTTTCTCCTTTGAACAGAGGCTCCCAATGCGTCCAACCTGAAAATTGTAAGAATGGACAGGACTGCTGGATGCGTAACTGGGGGGGAAGAAATTTACCTCCTCTGTGACAAGGTGCAGAAAGGTAAGGACACGCTGTGCTCCAAGACTCAGAATCCAACCCTGGTGCTCCCTGGGTTACTCCTGGGCAGCCCACCAGGAAGGCCCCTCTGATGCTGAGCATCTTCTCCCGGTGCTCAGTGTCATTTTGTAATACCCAACCATATAATTCATCTTGTATTTTCCCCAGAAATAAAGAGAAATAATATGAAAACAGTGGTAGTTATAGCTAGTGATCATCAGTGGTTCTATTTCTTAAACTTTGTTTTCTGCATGTGTTAAACTATAATAAAAGAGTAACAGCCCACTTGTCACACACACAAACACACACGCAAATGCACAGAGTCTGTCCTAAGTCCTACATCTTGTGCTCCACCCACCTGCACATGTCACAGTGACGCTAGCTGGAGAAAGGTCGAGGACAGGGAGTTCTCAGACCATGTTTCTCTTCCAGGTGACGTTTTGGGCAGAGGTTCTTGGCATTTGTTCTCAGTGGACCTATTAGAAGACAAGCAAATTAGTGAAATCAGATCATGTGTCACTTTCTCAGACTTCATTCACTCTTCTTGAGTAAAATAATCAATGTAAAGTATAGGAGAGTATAATAAAGGTTTGTTCACTACAAAGTAGGCATTTTCAAATGAAGCAGACACAGAACTAGAAATCACTCTTGATTATACATAGCATGGCTTTTAAAATAGCTCAAGTAGAGGCTAAATGCTCTGAGACAGGAAGTCAGGAAAAAGTGGGATCCGATTGTGAAGTAAACGTGAGTTCTTTATCTAAACAACACTGAGTGTTGGCACTCTCGCTGCTCCTTGCCTTCCTCCTGCCCACTCTTCTAAGTAGTACTCATTTCCGGGCTGAGTTGTCTTTGTTTGCCTGAATCATCATTTCTATTAGCCTAGCACCGAAGTTTTGGCTTAAGGAATCTGAAAAACTAGGGCCGAGATAGTCCTACCTACAGGTGAAGGAGTGACCCAGGAGGCAGTGGGGCACTTGCCTAACCCTAGACTCCTAACCGCCCCCGCCCCATGGAAATTTGTACCAGCCCATGGTGTGGTCTTTCCTATGAAGTGGGAAGTGAAGCCAGGGGGTTGCCAGTTACATGGTCCTATTTCTGCAGAAGTAAAGAACAGCTGTGTCCCGAGTGAACTGACCGCCTGGGTATTTTGACCGACCACTCACAGGGACTGAGAATAGATTACAGGAGGCACAAAGGAGAGCATGTAGGCACTTGGGCACTGAGGCCAGAAGATCCTTGCTTCTCCTTTCATTGGCTGTCAGTCCGGGATAAGGGACTTAGGAAACTCTCTGGACCCCAGTTTCTCTTCTGCAAAAATGAAGATAAGAGAACACCGACCTCCTGGGTCAATGGGAGGGCAGAGTGAGTTGGCCTTTACATAGAAAGCACTTGGGACAACACCTGCCCTCAAGTAAGCCCAAGGCGAGCTAACTGCTGCATACAGCATGTACCCTGGAGTGAGCCTCTGAGCTTGGATGCTCCTCCTTGGGCTTCCCATCTCATGCTAGTGTCGAGGGCAGGTTCAGTGCTGAACAAGAGAGAGTTCAGGTTGATCAGTTAACCCTTAGATTCTGCCGTAGCAAGGGAAATGGTGCTGAGGGATTTTTAGAACACACGACTTATATAAATTTTAAACCTTGAATCTATTCTGATTATTTTCAAAAAGTTGGAGTGTCCAGTAGGGAGGCCTGAGAGCCAGCCTGACTGTCACGCTGCACACAGTGACACACCTGCTTGTGACCATTTGCAGATGACATCCAGATTCGGTTCTATGAAGAGGAGGAAAATGGAGGCATTTGGGAAGGGTTTGGAGACTTCTCTCCCACAGATGTTCACAGACAGGTAAGGGAGCCATCAATACCGCCCTTCACATTTTGTCTTGCTGAAATTCAGTACTTACTTTTTGTATATAAAAAATGAAAAACATCACATGTTTATTTAACATCCATTGAACAGTCCTATTTTTAAGACTTGTAGGCCATCGAGAA